TACTTCTATAAATGTATTTTTTTTTTTTATCAATCCATCGATCATAAGTCACCCATCGAACATCACCAGCATAAAGATTTTATAAAATATAAACATTATTGTCAACGCTTTCTTTGTAATGTATGATGATCTTTATCTCCTTTTATCATTTGTTTTTTTCTTTTAAAAATTTTTTAATTTGGTTTTTTTTTTAATTGTTATTGATGATTGTTATTTTTTTTATAGTATTTTAATTGTATTTTGGGGTAAATTCTGATATTCAGGGGTTGGAATCTCTTGTCAACTGATAGTTCCAATAATATGTAAAATAAATAAATAAATAAATATAACTAGCAGATGACCCAGGCATTGCCTGGGCAAAAATAACAACAACAAAGGTTAAGATTATTAGATTATTTTGTACTTCTAATCCTTCTATTATATTATATTATAGTATTTCATTTGTATTTACAAAGATTTATCGCACTGAGTGACCAATCTAACACATTAAAAATTTTTTTAAATTGTATACAGTAGACAAATAAAGAACCCTTACATAAGATAATCTTTGTATTTATATAAATCAAAACACTATAATATAACAAATATTAAAACAAAAACTATATAAAAAGTTTGGTTATTTCAGCCTACCATTGTCACATTTATTGCAATACTTGGACAGTACAAAATGGCACAATCTCATTGGTCAAGTGGACATGAATTGAAAATATATCTTAAAAAATTTAAGATATTGTGGGGAAGTATTCGATCTTTAGAGTATTCCCTGTGCAGGAACAAAACAAAAAGAAACTTCAAAGAAATAAATCACACACTCTATGACTCCAATGCAAGGAACTTAAAGTTTATTCTAGTCCTTCCGATCACTGCTCTGTTCCTTCGCTATAATGCACACTAAAACAAAGGAAACAACACACAAAAAAAAATCTCACGACTCTATCATCTACATGTCTTCTCTCATCTTTCTTTTTTCCGAAAAGTCCTGCTTCTTCCATTAAGCATGCATGATCTCCCTCTGTTCCTCCTTGATCCGGGTTTTTTTTTGGTTGTCATCAAGAATGCCCATCCCTTCTTTACCCTGTGGCCCGCCCAAGGAGCTGGTTATGGTTAATAGAACACATGATCTACAGACCATATATCTTCCCTCCTCCCATTAACTTTTACAACAATAAACAGAAAACTTTTACGCTATGAGGGCCCATCTCTCCTTTACTCCGTGACCCACCCGAGGAACTGGTTACAAGCCGGTTACACAACAGAACACATGGTCTTCAGACTACAATATCGTATTTATTTTCTAATGTTAACTCTAGGAAACTGTACCATTCACAGCCAAATATCAAATGGTAACCAATCAAAAAACATTTTTGCAACAAATTTTGCAAAAAACAGATCATATATTTAAACTTGGCACCCTTGAAACCACTTAAAACATATTTTATGCTCACTGGTAACTTTGTATTACACAATTTTCCTATTCAAATGCCACCATACTACTTGTCTGATAGAAAGAAGACTGTTGCAGAAGGTCAAAATAATTTGACCAAAATAATCGTTGACCTCCCAGAAGAGAGAATGGTCAATGACTATTAATTAATACTGGTCTACTATTAATAATTTAAAAGTGATCTGTGTTGAATAGGTTGTGATGGCAGTGCACGTGATTGAAGTTGTTAACCTTAACATCCAAAAGACTTCAAATGATTGTTTAAAGAAAAAAAATCTTGCAAAAATGCAATAATAATTACTTTTATGTGGTGGTAAAGTATTTGCAACAAACTGTACAAACTATGTGGGAAGTATGTTCTTGTAAATATCGCATTTATAGAAAAATTATCAGGCTGCAATTTGCAAAAATTGCAGACCTATAAATTCTGACTGATGTCCCTTGTCTTGAAATTAATTTATTTACAAAATCCAATAGATATTTTGGGGTGGAATGTTCGACATTATCTAAGTTGGTGGTATATAAACATAACTGCCAAATTTTGTGGCAATTGGTTGAACAGCCTAGATGTATACAGTGAAGAAACATCCAAAGAAACATTCTCATTTATATATATAGATTATATCATAAAATGCCATTCTTTTCCTCAATTTTTAATAACACTTATCATATACTATATATTCATATATAAAACAAATCATTGTAAGATAAGTGTGTTGATTTTAAGATAATTTGAAATTATCAGAGTTTTTATATAATCTAAAAATTTATATAAAAATACAGGTAACCCCCGTATAACACGGTAGTTACGTTCCAAAAAATTGCTGTGTTATGCGAATCCGTATTATACGAAACAAAGAACTAATACGAGAAGGAGGGTTAGGTTCCAAATATTAAAAAACATGCTAGTATATTTTCATAATTAAGATAAATATCTTCATTAAAATTTTTTTAAGTGATACATATTAATATAAATTAAACAATGTTTTCTTCGTCATCACTAAAAACACTATTAATTAACCGAGAGCGTTTTCTTTTTGGCAAGTTATCCTTATCCTCTGAGCATTTTTCTGCATTATCTTCAGATCCATGCTTTACCTTTTGCAAAATGTATGTAATTTTAGATTGCTTGCTTCTAGTTAAAAGGTCTTTATAAATTTCCTTATATGGTGCTAAGCACTTATGAAGAATAAAGCANATACTAGAAAATTCCTATCGGTTGGGTTAAGTTATAAATCTACTCATGATTCGCATAATCGGGCAAGGGCAACCAAATATCTAGCGAGCAGGCGTCTAACAGCCCAGAACCAGTCCTAGATAAAATTGGAAGCGTTATATGTGTAGCATCCACCCAAGATCCTAGGCTTCCACCAGCTAAACCAGGTTAGGTTGGTGCTCTGTAAAGCACATGCGCAAATCTGACTTTTTGGATATTGGCAATACAGCACTTCCACTCCGCCACTAATATTCGAATATACAATAGCAATCTTATTTTTTTTTTCATATGTAGTATAGAAATTTGTAATAAGATACATAATTCGGTTGTAATAAAATATTTGTTTAAATTAATTCATTAGAACTATCCATTTTATGTATGATTTAACATTAATCTTCACTTAGCATTATAATCTTAAATATTAGATAATAAAAGTATAAAATATAGTATAAAATAATTGTGCTTAAATCATGTTATTAATTAACAACACTATTTGCATTTAGAATAAGTCATATAAATAAATTTGTTATAAGTAAAAGTCAGTTTTACACTTTAAGTTAAACTTAAAGTTTCATTTAATGTTTACATGGAAATAAATCATTTATTATTTTTGATAACATCAATGCTACTGCATCTAAGAGAAAACAATAAAAGGTTCCTTACTAACTTCAATCATTCCATTTTGTCCAACATTTAATTTTTCACTAAAACCAGGTAATTTCGCATAAGAATAATAAATTTTTAAGTTATTTTCATCTGATTTTAGCTCTGCTTCCAAAGTTATTACAGAATCAAATTCATCTATCATTCCACAATCTCTTGAAACAGTTATGGCTGTTAATAAATTATCCCCTATAAAAAAAATTAATGACTACAAATCAGTAAATCTTTTAGATTTAAAACACTTATAAAGAAATTCAGAACAGTTAACTCTAAAATTAAAATAATATATAACCAATTAAATATATTAATTAATTTCAACATTAAACAATACATTAATTTATGAAAATTAATAAATAAATCAACTTGAATTTTCCTTATAAAATTCAAAATACAGCTAATTTTTAATAATAAATAATAATAATTGTTTCATTATATAATGATATTAGTAAATAAACACAGTGTATGTTAAGATATATTACCAATCTAACAGTTAAATATTAAGAAAGTTGTAGATTTAATCCCATTTAAATTATAGATACAGTAAAACCTTGCTTTATGGCCATCTCACTTACTCTTTAATTAATTATGATCACCATGTACTGTACATTACCCTATATAAAAGCATGAATTACTGTATATTGCAAAAGATGTATAATATTATATTATTTTTTTATTTTTTTTTTACTTTTATAATCTGTATTAACTTTTACAAAATTCAGTATGATAAACTAATTAGTTCTGTAGTTCTGGGTTATAAATTTTTAATTTCAAATAAAATAAAAAAAATCTTCTCCATATTTTGATTATTATGTTCATTTTGTAAATTAACAATATTTTTATTTGTTCTAATCTAAAATTTAACATAGAATATTTAATAAAAAATCATAATTGACATATACTATCAAAACAACTTCAGTATTACATAGTTTAGGTTATACTCTATGATGATATAGTTTCAATACATACCTGTAACCATTATAGTTCTAATGTTTGCATTTCTCAAAGTCTTAATTGCAGGAAGAGATTCTGGTTTTAGAGGATTCTGAAGAATCAATAATCCACGGAAATTAAAATCACATTCCAGATCTTCTCTATAAATTAGAAGTAAAATAATAATAATAACAACAACAACAATAATAATAATTTATAAAACTCAATAAATTAAAATATATATATATATATATTTTAATTTATTTTCAAATATATATATATATATATATATTTGAAAATAGCAACTGAAACATTTAAAGAAAACTGAAATTACAAATAAAGTATATTTTTTTTGTTTTTATACTCCCATGATTTGCTAAATTTTCTTTGTTTTGTAATCAAATTAAATTTAACAAACATTGAAAGAAGGATTTGAAAAATCCTTGACTGTTTAAGTCAAGTAATATTTGAAAGAAAAAGTGATTTTCTATTTTTGACTGTAAATTTATTTTTTTGTTAATTAATTTAGTTGTATTTAAATGTAATCCCCAAATGACAGGGTAATCCCTAATTGTCTGAAATAAAGATTGGTTGATTTATTAAAGAAGAGTGTTATTTCTACACTGGCTTACAGAATTGTGTTCATTCCCAAAATTTGATGATCAATTTTGATTAAACTGTGCCATTTTCCATTAACTGCAGTGAGGAATCCAATGTATAATAAAAATGTGGATCCATGACTTTGTTTTTGAGATACAAGGTTGTAGCATGAACACGCATGACAAAGTGGCATTGTGCAAGCTTGTCATACAATGTCTAAAGGTTGCTAGCATGTCTTCTTTGTGGCTTATAAAATTGGAGTTTGTTCTCAAAATTTAATGGACCAATTTTCATAAAATGTTGCCATTTTCCATTAATTGAAATGAGGAATACAAAAATATAATAAAAAAATGGAAGTCCATGACTTCATTTTGAGATACAATGGGATCAGAGTGATAATATCCATTCTCTTTGATGATACTCAGTTAGGGTTTCTCATTTCCCGGGAAATTTGCCTCCAGCGGAATTACGGGACAAATAATTTCTTTTCCCGGGATCCCGGGAAATTCCGGGATGAGATAGTAAAATAGAATTTTATATGAATAAAAAAGATCATACAGGAATATCATAAATTCGAATAATTTAATTTATTTTCTAGTAAGTAACTAAAAGTGTAGGGCCAATCTCATCCATACGGACAGGTTAGGCTCAATTAATTTATGTTCTCCTACATTATAAGATGAAAGTAAAATAAAACGTTTTCATTGGGAGTTTTAATGATTATGAAAAAAATACTAATTTATTTCTAAAGATGAAATAAAAAATAAAGTGCGATGAGTAATATTTACTTTCAGCAAGTCTCCGCTGTTCAATGATGCGCAAACACAATACATAGATATTACATGAACTAACAAGTAGAGACTTGTAAAGCATAGGTAATAATATGCAGCAAGAAACCTCAAAATTTCTCTTTTAGGTGAGTCTTCAAGATGCAACTTTTTGTATAATAAATAATAGAAAGAAAACCTGACATGGTAAATTATTATTGAAATGCGAGATTTCCCGGAAAAATAAAATTTCCCGGGATTTTTCTCGTAGGGAATAAACGGCAAGAATCCCAGGAAAGAAACCCTATACTCAGTGCACCTAACATAGTTTGAGGTAAAAACAGTATTGCATATAATAGATAACAGATAATAGGTGCAATAAATGAACAAAACACAAGAACAAAGCAATTGGTGTAGAGTGCTTTGTTTTTGGATTGCCTCCTCCAAAGCAGCAGATGCAAGGATCACCAGTCTGTGCCAAGCACTTGTAAGGACTACATCTTTCTTTCGAAGCTCCATCTCAATTCTATCATTATACAACAAGGTTGCACAATATACTAGTTTATATCATTAAAGTAGTCCTGGAAATTTAAGTTTCATAATTTGTAAGAAATTGTGAGACTCTGGACAGGTCCGAACCTCACTGAAATTCGCGTTAAAATCATTTATTTTTAAGGACAAAATTATTAAAGTTAGAAACAGTTTTTCTTAATGAAAATGACATGAACTTTTAAGAACTTTTAAACAATAGAACAATGAAAAAATGAAGATCAACTATCTCTGGATGAGAATTGAATTAAACTTTGATTTTGACTTCTCCTGTGCCTCCAAAAGGTTTCAAAGGCACCAGGTGACAAGGAAAGACCAATCGGAAAGTGGAATTGGAGGAAAACAGATAAAACCTGAGAATTCAAGGACGTGATGGCTTCTTCTCCCGAAAGTTTCAAGTGGTAGATCTATAGTTGTGTGTGTGTCCCATGCCCATCTTCGTCTTCATCTCCTGACCGTGGATTGACATCTTTTCATCAACCAAAGTTGACCCATCATCCCGGAGTCGTCAAGACATCAATGGAATTGGTCATTCATGAACCAGGGACATTCTTTCAAAATGGGACTATCTTGGAAAGGACAGGAAGACCCAGAGGCCGCTGCCAACGTACAACTTCCAATATCACGGAAATCTTGTAAGTTTCTTTCGTGTCAAATAAACGGTTTCTTGTAACCATAGAGTCTGTCTCAGTGCTGATTGCCCACATATGACCCTTTGCAACTGCTCGACCCTCTTGACATTTTTGCACCCTGTCGGCAACCTTACAAAATCAAATGTCTCCTACTATATATATTTTATTGATTTAAAGTATTATATCTCATTACTATAGTTTGCGCAGCAAAAGAATAGACATGAATCAGCTTAAGTGAAAGGATCTATGTCAGATGAAAGAGAGGAAAGGAGACAAGTGATTAACTTGTGAGTAAGATAAAATTAAGAGTAAGTAATAAAATTTATGAAAAAAAATGAAAAATTAATAAAATCAATAAAATTATTTATGATAGAGATGGCATAAAAATGTTTTGGAGATGCAAAAAACAAACAGTTGAAATAGATCATATATCAAGTCTCAAGGGGAGTAGCCACATGTCTCCTTCCATTCCTTTCATTTGACATAGACCGTTCCAGCTTATGCTGACTCATGTCTACCCTTTCATTGCATGGACTACAAGACAACTATAAAATTATTGTATCAATAATAACCAAAAAAAAAATGCATAATCTAAAAATTAATATGTATATATTATTTTACACTAGTTTTTATAAAATTTATTAGTAATAACCTTGGAATAGTCATTATTTCATCCCAAGATAAAGATGAATTTAATGATTTGGATCCTACACCCAAAACTCTAAAACCTTGTCTTGTATAGCATTCTAAGACATCTTTGAAGTTTTCGGGAACTATAAAAAAAAATTTATTACTTTCTAAAATTAATTAAGGTAAATTATTATTAACATATATAAACTGAAAAACTAAAAATTATGTATACAAATATTGTTTTAATTATATTGAGTGTAGTTTACCAGTATGTTCTTTACATAGTGATGAAATCATTTCTGGAGCTCCTTTAATATAAACATCAAAATGATCACTTTCAGCTTCTCGAGTAACAACTGACATTCTCTGAAGTAAAGACTCAAATGGAAATTGTCGCACAATTGCAATATAAGGTGAAACCTAGAGACAAAAGTTTTTTGCAGAGTTACAGATTTAATAACTATTATTTAAATTATTAATTTTATAATCATTAAATTTATAAAATATAGTCTATTTATATAACTATATGTAATTCATTTTTATAATATATGTACAAATTATGTATACGTAAATCAGTGGCGTGCCGTGACATTTGATGGTAGGGAAGCTGTGTTTCTGAAAGAAGCCAACTTCCAGGGCAATCAGTTACTTCTATAAATGTATTTTTAATAGATTATTTATCTGACATAATTAATAAATAAACAAGTTCAATATAATTACCTCTGTTATTAGATTCAATAGATTCCCTATGCCTCTAAATGCTGATTCTTGCTTTGATGAAAACATATAACATCTATTAATTTAGATATAATATACTTATATCTATTAGCCGTAACTATCTCGTTATAATTTTCAATATTTATTTTATATTATTTACTAATGTTAAATTCTATTCCGCTTCGATTTCCAAATTGCTTCAAATACGAAAGAATCGACGATTTTTCGTGTCTTTTGCCAGCTAAATTGTCAAAGACATTCTTATTCCACACACTAATTTCACTCTGTAAATGCATTTTTATGCATTTACAGAGCCATTTTATCGTGAAAATATCGAACAAATTTTTTTATTGAAGCGTTTATATTTAACTTAGGCATTGGCCTTTCTCTTTTAATAATGTTTTCTTTTTCATTATATGATCTCGAGCCAAAACTTTTTTAAAATAAATTTTCAATATCGCAATTACATTCCGAATCGCTAGCCACGATATAAGGGCTAAAATTAAAAATAAAATTATAAAAACTTACTTGGTGAAATAAAATGTGTGGTGGATATACATACCTGGTACAAAATATTCTTCAATTGTATGAATATACTTTTAAAGAAAATTATAATTAAATATAGTTTTGTGAAGAAACGTACATAAAAATAACATAAAATCTTTACTTTTTAAATCTTAACCACTTAGTCAAATAGCTCCCTACAAGTGGAATCAGAGACAGTCCTGCTAGGTGTGCAGTGCGTGCATGCATGCAGACTGCCAAATCCCAAGGGTACCAATACCGGTCAATGTCAAATGTTTTTTTGTCACATCACTAGCATATCTCAAAGGACGCGACAGGGTTGTTGTAAATTTTAAACGTTTCTCACCATAGCTGTAAAAATCTAAATTTGTTAAACTTAATAGTCATTTGTTTTCTAACTAATTATTTTTAGGACCAGATGTACACAGAAATTTCCAAAATTTACAACTTTTCTATCACTCTCATTAAACAGGAAAAATTTCTGTCTTTATTACATCTAATATTATGAAGGAATCAGTCCCCACTGTACTTGACTAGAGATTGGTTCGGTTAAGCTTTTAAGTAATGTTCCGGCTCTTTCAGCAGGGTTTTATTTATGTCCCTAATTCCCTAATCTCTTAATTATTTAACTAGTTCTTAATAGAAATAAGTTGAAACTGTTTACTTTGTACGCGAATATTTGTAGTCTCGGAAAAGAAGTAGAAAGACAAATTTTTATCACAACGGATACATAAATTGTAAATTTAAGGAAAATAAATTCTAGAGCTTTTTCTGTACCTCGTGCATCTCTCTCATTCATTAAATTTAGTTGTAAATGATGCTACCAAAATAACAGTTTATTTTTTAACATTGTACAAGAATTGAACATGTTTTTATCTACATCCCCTTAAAGATGGGATATATGAAATCATAATATAACTGGTTTAACATTGAAATCCGTAAGTAATATAAAATCGGAAAGTGGAATAAAAATATCAAATATTTTAATGAATTTTTTTAAACTCCTGTCAACTATACAGAACTATCATAAAAATATACTAGAAAATTCCTATCAGTTGGGTTAAGTTATAAATCTACTCATGATTCGCATAATCGGGCAAGGGCAACCAAATATCTAGCGAGCAGGCGTCTAACAGCCCAGAACCAGTCCTAGATAAAATTGGAAGCGTTATATGTGTAGCATCCACCCAAGATCCTAGGCTTCCACCAGCTAAACCAGGTTAGGTTGGTGCTCTGTAAAGCACATGCGCAAATCTGACTTTTTGGATATTGGCAATACAGCACTTCCACTCCGCCACTAATATTCGAATATACAATAGCAATCTTATTTTTTTTTCATATGTAGTATAGAAATTTGTAATAAGATACATAATTCGGTTATAATAGAATATTGTGTGATTATTTTCATATAATTAAAATTAATATTTATTTATTTTTTTAGAAAATACAAGGGAAGCGGCGCTTCCACCGCTTCCAATGATGACATGCCACTGACATAAATAGTATACATGTACAGGAGAGGAGAGCTACAGGGACTACAATCTAGGGAGCTACAGGGACATAAGCCCTCCCCATTGACATAAAACAAAATAAAAATTTATTTGTTCAAACTTCAAAAAGTTGTTTCTAAAAACATTTATAATGGCAAATACAATTGTACTGTATTACAAAATAGTCTAATAAACCATTTATCAGGCCATTTGTAATACAATCATCATGTACCGTACATGTTAATAAAAGATCCTTATTAATTAAATACTTTTGAGTTAAGCATCCCTTTAGGTTCTTCTGGATCTACTATTGTACATGTATAAATTTATATATACATAATAGTTCATAGTTTTGTGATTACAAAAATTATTCAATTTTTGCTTCCTAATATAATAAAATATTAAATATAAACGAAATTTTTTATATTATTATTAAGACATTGTTTTATGCAAATATTTTTCAAAATTTATTTTCTTCATAAAACTTAATCTATCTTTTAATTCAAAAATTTATTCTAGAATTGTCAGATGCAAAATGAAACAAAATTCTTATCAGCCATTACTTACTACAAAATATTAAAAAATTATTTAAATATAAAAAAATTGTAAAATAATGAAATAAAATTAAACACAAATACAGATTTATTTTAAGTCAAAATATAAAAATGATGATGAATATTTTTATTAATATTATAAGATTTATGTTCTCTGATGTCATTTTATCATGCATTTCATTAATTTCTTATTTGTATTTTATAAATCTTTAATGTTTAAAAATTTTAATATATCATAGGATATGATTATAAAGTCTAAACTTGAATTTGATATATTCTATAATACTAACTAATATTAGGTTGTTCGTAAAGTAAGTTCATTTTTTTTACCACTAGACGGATTAGTCGTATTTTTCCTGCCATTTTCATTCTAAACCGTATTATCATTATATATTTTGACAGCTGGCATTTTAAGGTTTATTTGTAAAAAATTTTGTTAGATTTTGTGCAATTGTTTATTTTTTGTGTCCCATCAAATATGGAAGATCAAAAGCAGCATTTTTAGCATATTTTGCTCTTTTATTATCGAAAAGGTAAGAATGCTGTTCAAGTGAGAAAAAAATTGTTTGACATGTATGGAGAAGATGTATTGACAGAACGACAGTGCCAAAACTGGTTTACAAAATTTTGTTCTGGCAATTTCAATATTGAAGATGCACCACGTTCTGGATGGCCAGTTGAAGCCAATGAAAACAAAATAAAGGTACTGATTGAAGCAAACTGCCGAATAACAACACGTAAAATCACTAAGAAATTAAATTGAATTGTTTATGATTACTTGAAACAAATTTGTTTTGTTTCAAAGCTCTATATATGGGTTCCACATGTTCTTAAAGAGAGATGCCCTCTTTGGTGGGATTTTAAGGAAAGTTTTTTGGAGCTTTTACCAGACAATTTAACAATTGATTCATTACTTAATATATGAGTTCCACATGTTCTTAAAGAGAGATGCTCTCTTTGGTGGATTTTAAGGAAATTTTTTTTGGAGCTTTTACCAGACAATTTAACAATTGATTCGAAAGTGTAAAAAAAAAATTGAATTGAGTAAACAAATTGAGTAATATCATCAAACAGAAAAGGCGGCAAGAATTGATCAACAAAACAGGTGTAGTGTTTTACCACAATAATGTCAAATCACACAAGTTTGGTAACTCGTCAGAAACTGTTATAACTTAGATGGGACATACTATCACACCAACCATATTCGCCAGATCGAGCACACTCAGATTATTACTTGTTCCTGTCTATACAAATTTTTTGTAACTGTAAGACATTTACTTGAAATGACAATGTCAAAAATCACTTGGATCAGTTTTTGAAAGCAACGATCAAAACTTTTATGAATGTGAAATCATGCTACTACCAGAAACAATGACAACAGGTATTTGACCAAAATGGTCAATATATAATTCAATAAAATATTTATTTATTATAAAAATATTGTTTTTTTTCCACGGAAAAAAGTGAACTTAATTTCTGAACAACCCAATATTTAAGTGTTAATGTGATTTAAAATAAACTGTTGATATTAAAAGTGTGCAAATGTGAGGCCTCGAAAATAGCCCCTCCCCCAAAAAAAAAAAAGATTTGTAAAAATTTCTTAAGTTAAACCATCAAGAAAACAAATTATATAAATGTCGAAACAGTGACACCTGACTTTTACGTTGACACTCATCAAAAGTAGATGGAAAAACCAAATTTTAGATATAAAAAGAAGGAAATTTAAAATATTAAAAGTTAAGACACAGTTTGGAAAGTAAAACAAAACTAGAAAAAATATCAAAATGAGCGTAGGTGTCATAGTCAACAATTAAACACAATCAGAGACGAAAAGATGGTGTCGGATAAACCATCTTCAGCTGACTTTCTCGTGAACTTTACAAAGCTCCATTTACACCTGGAAACAGGTGGAAGACCAATTAGAAAACGATGATGTAAGGTCTATCCAATTAGCAAGAAGCTGATCTCAAAAAACCTATAAAAACACCACTTCCAAGGACAACGAAGCTTCCACTAAGACTTTCACTAGACCTCTGTTGTGTTCATGTATATCCGCTTATTTTTGTACCTCCGTTCTTCTTTTGTGCATCGACTTTCGAGACTTCAAACTTTTCATTCAAGGCTGTCCAGGGAT